ACATTTTACTACATTTAGGATGCTATAAGAATGCACGTAATGATGACAAACATGCAGAATACGATTGTTTATATATAGTTAGTGTTTCAAGTGTCAATTTGTTAAATATTTAACTATGTAACAAAATAGACAGATGTTAACATTGAACTTCAGGTTAAGGCAGTAAGTGGTTGACTACCAGTCTCAAGTCTAAAAAGCAATGGTGTTCACCAGGGATCAGTGTTAGGACCCACACTCTTTTTGATAAATTGACTTAGATATTGGAATACAGGGTGAAATTTCGAAATTTCCCAAATTAGAGGAAAGTTGGGCAAGTGGCAAACAGTGAGGATGAAACTAATCTCCTTCAACAGGACCTGACAATTTAAAGAGACTGCTTTAGATTATTTCCATTATCAGGACCACCACCTCACGAGATCATGCCTGTTTTAGCTAGTGCTACCCATGTAATTTCTGATGGAATGCAGATATTACTCTGATGGCAGCGCTACCAGAATGAACCGACAAGTGGCAGATGGAAATCGATCCGGAGAATTGCAAAACAATATATTTGGCAGTAGTGATCGGGGGGTTGGTGGGGGGGGGGGAGCAGCGAGATAATGAGGACAAAATAGCACACTTCAATGGAGTGTGCAGCAACAGAAGGATCTGGGGCTACATGTACACCATTTTTTTGGCAGGAGATAGCGAGAGTGTGATTAGCAAAGCATTTAGGATCTCAGGTTTCATAAGTACTGACATTGAGTGGTAAAGTAGGAAAGTCACCCTGAAATAGAAGTGAAATCATATTTGACTTGAAATGTTAACTCTCTTTCTCTCTTCACGGATGTCAAATCTACCAAACTTTTCGTTTTAAAGTTTGTAATCACTGCACAAAAATTTTTAAATGATGAAAGAAACAAACAAAATTTGAATTGTACACACTTTTGTGCGATATCTGACACTCTGGTTTGTGTTTAATTATTACCTGTAACACTTCTTTACCTTACACTTTGAGTCAGTTATGAGTCCATCTCCATTTGCATGATTGTCATTTACGGTATAGAAACCATATCTTTTTCAAGGAGATACAGTTGTGTGTTAAATTTGACTAAGAATTCAAGTTAAGGTTTTAAGAAGAGCCTCAGCTTAATTCTCCCAGTCTCCTCATATACCCTTCAAAACATTAACTTGACAACAGAGTAAAAAACTTAGAATACAATAAAAAGCCACCTTGTTATTCTACAAAAGTTTTTTAAACATAATATATACAAACTACTGAATATTTCAGATGGTAATGAAATACTTCATTAAAAAGTTGTTTATTACTAAGTCATTTTATGAAACAGCTAGTTTGTTTCTCTATGTAATGCACTTTTGATGAGCATTAATAAGCCAGGGCAATACAGGGTCGGTGTAAAAATTAGAAACAGATACCAGTGGATCAGTTATTGCTATTCATTGCCTGACTGCAATCTTTGACTTCCAGCTTGAGTAAAATTTATTCTGAAAAAATTGGCAGGTAAGAAGGAAATGTCTATATATACAGTTTCTAACTTTTGAACAATGCCCTCGGAATTGCGCTTGTACATGACTGTCATTTCACACAGTGTGCAATTGCATTGAATAAGCAATATTAGTTTAATCTAATTGTGACTGTAAAACAGATTTTTAATACATTTATGTTAAGCCCTGGTCAATGAAAACCTCTAAGCTGGTTGTGTTTCTTTTGGCTACAGAGCAACAGAGACAGTGTATTCAAAGTAGAAACTTCTCCATGAGTTCAGCTGTCAGTGAGGGGGAGGGAATAAATTACAAAGAAAAGCAGCTCAGTTTCCAATTAATGTTCTAAATTTACCATTGCTAGTGCATAACCTAAACAGATATCATGTATCAGTTAATGTGAAGGCAAAGAGTGAGGAGACAGATGTCCATCATTATCATGTGTGACTGAATAGGAATAGGGCATCTGAAAAACATTCTAAACCTTGCTGTAAAATGCAAATGTCAGATGGAAGTACATAAGACCATGTGAAAGTAAGGCAGACCATTTCACAACCCATCCCAGTTTGCAAACTGGTGGTGTATATTCCTTTCTATGACAGCCTAAAGAACCTCACCCATCTCAATATGAATGTGAGACAGTTGTCAGATTGAATAAGTATACAGCTCTTGTGTGCAGCTGTGAACTAGTCTAGGAGACATTGTGAAGCCTAAAACTTATGCAGAGCCTGTTGTCAAACATTATATGACCTGAAATGTAGGTAGGTATCACGTAGATGCACCCAAGCCAGCAGTGAATGTTTGACAGAAAAGACTCCGCATGTCAACAAAAGCCCTTGGGTGCAGAGCAGTTGTCATCACCACTGTTGTGTACTACAGTGAGAGAAATTCCAGTAGCACTGCTTTTTGTCACATTGCACAGATTCATTGGGAGGACTGGCAAGCAAATCCTTAAAGCTACCTCTACAAATATTCTGGTAAATCTCCTACCAAACCAACTAAAACGGACAGGACGCCACATCCAGATTTCGGAAAAGCATCTTCCCTGCTGGGACTGGTTTTCCTAATTCTGTAATGGCTGATGTTCTGGGGAAAGCAAATTAAAGTACCTCACCAAAATTCAACCAAGAGCAGGAGAGATTTGTAGGAGCAACTGTATTGGTAGATTCTGGAGTGAAAAACAGTAGGCAAAAATAATTGGGTACTTCAAGCACCTAAATAAATGGGATGCAAACAGTATGAAAGCATTGACGTGTGGGAGGAAAATGGCAACAATTTGTCCATCACACTTTTAAGTCAGATCATAACAATGAGGCAGAGTGCAGTTAGAAAGCAAAGGGATAAATCCTGTATTCTGAATCCCACTAAGTCATATTGATCTATGTGTCCAAAGATCTGCAGCTCAAGAATCAGTCTGCTCAGTCACTTCTGTCAGAGCAGAAAACTTATGACCCTGAGTAGACATCATCCTCAAACTGAGGCACAATGAATCACAATGACAGAGATACTACAAGGGTTTTATGAAGTGCTCTGGTTAGGGATATGACAAAGCCTTGTCCTGATATTAATGTAATTTGTGAGAACTGCAATTTAGGGTCACACTTATTATAGAATCATAGAATCCTACAGTGTGGAAACAGGCCCTTCGGCCCAACAAGTCCACACAGAGCATCCCAGCCAGACCCATTCCCCTATAAACTCACCTAACCTACACATCCCTGAACACTATGGGCAATTTAGCATGGCCATTCACCTAGCCTGCATATCTTTGGACTGTGGGAGGAAACCCACACAGACATGGGGAGAATGTGCAAACTCCACACAATCACCCAAGGATGGAATCGAACCCGGGTCCCTGGCGCTGTGAGGCAGCAGTGCCAGCCACTGTGCCACCTCACAGGGTGGTATCGCCATTTAACACTGACAAGTATGCCACTGATCTTAAACAATTGCTTGTGGTCTGAATTTCTAATTTTTTTTGACTGAAAGAAACTAACTTGTCAACAAACATTCTATTATGACAAAGTGCAACTGCTCTGATGCATTAGGTAGCATGTAGTCATTAAATTGGAATTTTTTTTACACTACATTGCTGAAATAAACAATGATTCCACATATTAGAGGAAAATTAAACTTTGTCAAAATTACTCTGTACATATTAAAATCTTTGATCCCATGATCTATCATGATTGACATATTTGACTAGACTTGCACTGGTTCACAATTCAGTACATCTTAATACCTACCATCAAAACAAAAACAGGTTTTTCTGTATTCAGTAATACAGCCGTTTTCTTGATGACACAGTACGTCTTATGTTTAACTGATTACAATGAGAAGTATCCAATCTGGGCATTCAATGTAAAAGTGCAATGTTTCAGTGCACTAAAACAAATCCCACTGTGCAACTTTATCAAACTGATCAGTATGTTTGAAGAAGATTCTTACGGTGCTGTTATAACAAAGACATAAAACAGTTGACTGAAACTTGAAACAAATTCATTAATCATGCATCCAAAAAGAATGCACTGAGGAAATTCAATCACTTTACACCCCAACCTTTCAGTCCTACCTGGATGAACTACATATTTGTAATTAAGCATTTTGATCTTTCCTTGACTAGTCTATAACCAGCCCATATATATTCCAAAAGTTTACTAAAGCATAGTTCCCTAAATTAATAATAATGACATAACTACAATCTTTTGATTATGACTCCTACAAATGCAGTGCTTGGAGTCAAGTGCACAGGTACGTAGAATTATATTGAATTTTTAATTTTTTTTTCCCCCCACGGATGTGTGTCACTTGCCCTTGAGAAAGTAGTGACAAGCTGTTTCTCGAATCATTGTAGTTCAGGTAGTATAGGTACATCCACAGTGCTGTTAGGAAGAGAGTTCCAGGACTTTGGCCAAGCAATAGTGAAGGCATGGCAATATCCAGGTCACGATGTTGTGTACCTTGAAAAGAAACTTTCCGGTAGTGATATTCATAAACATCTCTTGGTGTTGTCCTTGTTCATAGTACGGCTATGAGGTTGAAGGAACTTTACTACTGCAATGCATCTTGTTAATGGAACACAGCGGTAGTGAAGATAGTTGATGCTTTTTTAAGGTGGTTGATGGAATGTCAGTCAAGCAGGCTGTTTTGTTCTAGATGTTGTTGAGCTGCATCCATCCAGGTAAGTTCAGAGTATTTTATCATTCTCCTGAGCTTTAGTTCATGTTACCTGCCTCAGAATGCCAAGCCTCTGAACCACAGATTTTAAATGGCTAATCCAGTTCAGTTTCTGTTCAATGGTAACCCTCATGATGTTAAAAGTGGGGAATTCAGCAATACCAAGGAGCGAGGTGGTTAGACTCTCTTTCATGTAGTGCCAACAATTCTGTTATCCTCCTCTGAGTTTGAGAAGCCAAAATATACAATTTGCAAAGATAGAATATTGCCAATCTGATCTTTCCCATGTCACTTTAGACAAAAGCAATACGGCTCAAGTAGCCCCTCGCCATTACTCCAATGTGGCTGCGAGATATCAGGGATAAGAAATAGTTGTGTAGAATTATCAAATGTAGATCACCAGCTCATCTGCTGATTTGACTTTACCTGACTGCCATGAAATTCATTGAGGATACCATGTTTACCTCTGTGCTGTTGATGATCTTTAAATCACCAAAGAACCAACCATCACAAAGTGAGGGAATAAAATGTCTGGGAAAAGAGATAAGCCACCTTGGGTCTCTGGTACTGCACATATGTTCCCAGTTTACTGTTGATTAATATTTCACACCCTTGACATGACGTAGAGTGATCGCATTCTGTTAGCTAATGCCAAGTCCAAGCCCTGGAGGGGATCCAGTCCCTGCAGTTTACTGTTGCGTCCGTAAATCAGCTGTTTGAAAGAATCTTGATCGAGAAGTGCATTCATGTTTTTCAAGAAATAGCTCTCAGTATAGGAAAGCAATTCGATGGCATTGTGTATCTGAAGATAACAAAATATCCAGTCATTATACTGTGCGGTAAATCAATGTTGCAACTTCTTTTGAATGATACTTACACATCTTAAAAATGAACAGCTCATCAGCAATTTCTAATAAGCTGATAGAGACTTCACCTTGAGAGTTGGTGAATAAAGTTTTAATTACTGTACATTGCTGAATACACGTACTTAGTTTTCAGGGGAGTCAAAGAAAAAAACTCATTTATATCTCAGAATCATAGAAGTCTTTTGGCAAAGGAGGTGGCCAGTTGAACCATTGTGCCTACATTAGCTCTTTAAATGGCACATCATTACCTAAGTGTTAATATGCTTTTTCTCTTATAACCTTGTATGTTATTTTTATCCAAATAATCATCTAATGTCCACCTGAACGCCTCAATTAAACCAGGCAAGGCAAGTGGGGAGTATTCTATCACACTCCTGACTTGTGCTCTGTAGCTGGTAGACAGGCTTTGGGAAGAGTTGAGTTGCTCTGACCTCATGTGGTAGCTACAGTATTTATGTGGCTAATCCACTTGAGTTGCTTGTCAAGTATAACCCTCAGGATGTTGGTAGTAAGTATTTCAGCCATTGAATGCCAAGCGGCAATGGCTGGGTTCTCTGGAGGTTCTGTGGAATAAATGTAAAGAAATATTGATCATAGCAGGAGAAGGCCATTTGGCCCTTCAGTCTTGCTGTGCCATTGAATAAGTCATGGTCTCTAAACTGTGCACAGTAAGAGCCCAGCCAATTAATCAAATGATTACTTTTTCTTGTGCTATTGTTTGTGAGATAAATATCATCAGCCTGCTCATTTTCAAAGGTTAGCAACTGTATGGCAAGTTAAACTGTTGCCCAACTTCTGATCAAAACATTACCCTTTCATGATCTTTACATAGTGCCATCTAGTTTATCTTTCAACACTCTCTGCTGCTTCAGCTGGAAGGATACAGCTGTTCTCCCTTATTGACAGCCATTCAATTCCTAAACAGCAAAAAACCATTCACAGCTTCCAACTGAAGCAGCAGTGTCACAAAGATAGCTGGTTGAGAAAAGGAAAATGTTGGATCTTAAATTCATCTTTCACACTGAAGTTTTCATGGAAGTCAATCAATTTTAGATTGCCAATTTTTTTTAGAAAATTGAAGTAAATCTGTTGCTTGGTGAGAATACCAGTGGTTCTTAGAAATTGCAATAGATGTTAGATGAGCAGTTTCACTCAGGGCAGCAGTTGAGGCTTTACAGATTTCCCCATTATTCCAAAATTAAAAGCAGCAATATCAATCAACTTTCTCCCTTTGTTATTCTCAATTAATTTTTGTTAAAATTTTGATTTGTGCAGTTCTATCTGAAAGCAGGATTTCATGGGAAACCCACTTGATTTAAATAATAAGCTGTCACTGATATTTGAACAAAATACACTAGTCAACTTGATCTGTAGCCCAGGCAAGGTTTCTATACCAGAAAATTGATGTGAAAGAGACCAAATTTACCTTTGCGTAACAATAAATGATGACTGCATTCTCTAGGTTCATTATTTGGGTACAGATGATCTCACAATGTCTCTGCAATGATTCCAGCTCAAAGAGGCTTGCTGCAGACAGCAGCTAAATAAATGAAAGAGAAAGACAATCAAATTAAACATGAATCTCTAGTTTTTCTTCTAATTTTCTAATAAAATCATAATTCTCTTAACCAGCCATTACACCTTCCTTTATCAGCAGTTGGATCATCCATGAGACATGAGAAGCTCAATATTAAGACATTACTGTGACTCCTGCAAAATATCATCTTCCGTATTCTTACAAGTTTATTGAAGTGAACCTCTGTTTAATTTTACTATATATAGTAAGGTTTTCCCCCCCAATAATCTTCCCTCTTGATCACTTTTATATGCATATATGATGTGGAGAAAATGAACAGACTTATGCTGGTAGATGCAGACATTCAGAAGGAATGGATCACATTCCTTTATATCAGAAGTATTTGAAATTCACTTAACATCACAATAGCTCAGTCAAGATTCCAACTCTTCCTGTAGAACAATTGGTAGGAACTGTTATACAAAAAATCTGCGTCCTTGTTTGAAAAAGGACTTATCTTATGAGGGAAGGTTGAAAAGGTTATGCTTTTTATTCTTTCGAGTTCAGAAGAATGTTGGATCAAATGTTTAGTAACTAAATGGCATCGAGGTTGGTAGAAAAAGAATCACAACAGTACAGATACTGAAAATCTCCAAAGAGTCATATCAGATTTGAAACTTAACTCTGTTTCTCTTCCCACAGACACTACCAGGCCTGCTGAGTTTCTACAGTGCCTATTCATCTAGCTAAAGTCAAAACAATTAGTACCCTTTCTGCAAACTTAAAGTCTCCAAAATTTATATACTATTCTTTATATATTAAAGAAGTGGGTAGATATTTGGCAAATGGAGGATAACGTGAGAAAATTTCATTTCAGTTTTCGATGTTGTAATGGTATATTTCTAATCTTAACATTCATATTAATGTGTTCATGTTGATGAGGCGCCAACACAACACTTGGTTGCCAATTACACAGAATTTGTTGATCTGGTGACTTCAACTCAAAGGTAAATATGAACTGCCTCCTGGGTTTGATTCCTTAGGAATTATTTTTTCCTACCGATAACATTCATTTCCGTTTCAAACCTTAATCCAAGACCTCGAAGCTGAGGAGCTAAATTTCTTCCGGGTTTCTGTACAGAGAAAGGGCCGCCAACAATGCGGCTTGCACACCTAACTTAGAAAATTCAGCCCAGAAGGGACATAAATGTACTCTCATAAATTCACAATTGGATTACATATTTTCTGCTTTAAAACGTGATGGATGAAATATCTTGCAGAAGAATACACATGATAGTTTGTTATTTTCAATGCACAGATTTTTGTTGTGATATCGATCCATCAATGCTGACTGCTATCCTATTGTCTTGACCAAAGCGTGCATCATGAATCTTGGCAGACAATTTGATTATGGGGCATATCACATATAAACCTGAACAACATCCACATTCACTCTGGATAGTGACAAAAAGTAGGAATTCTGATGAACGTTTAGCCCAGAGCTTTATGAAACTTTGTAGTGCTGACTCATGTAGGATACAAAGAAACTGTTGGGAAATTAAATCTAGTGCTTTTTATTTGATATTGATTCGACATCAAACATGAGTAATGTTTTACTTCTCAAGCTAGAAACAGGAGTTGGCTAGTTATTTGACTCTTTGAACAGGAACAAAAAAATATTTTTAAGTGCACAAATGATAGATCTTTAAGAAATTACTTAAATTTGTGACGGATTATTTTCAGATCTGTGATAACATCCACCCGCCTAGCACCTCAGTCCATTTGCCATGAGCATAATAATCAGACTGAATGATTCTACAGTCTATGTGACCGGCCTCTATCGCTTCACTGTTAAGCTCACAATATAGTGTCTATATCCCATTGCATACTAAATCCTGTTTAGCCATCACCGCTGGCGCCTCTGATCTAAACTTGGGTGACTCAATGCAAGGTTCTCACCTTTGCATTTACAGTTATTATGGCATCTCTCTCATCTTCAGACTTGGCTGAACCTATTCTCTCACTGACTTTTTGTGCATAACTCCCTCGGCTGTAATCAGTAACTGTATCTTAAGCTACCTATACCCCTGATCATTCTGCTCGTAATAGTTTGTGGCTAATGGGCTGAAGTGCTGAGGATGGATCCTCTGACTGTATTCCTCACTACTATAAGATTGTTAAACAAATTTCTATGATTAAGCTTTTTGGTACACTCCTAATCATTGCTTTGATTGTGCCTCTGTGAATGCATTAGAACTTTTTCTCTGATCAATACTTTATATATTCTGGTGCCACTGATAGTGAGGGTACTTACCTCCAGTACGTCAGTAATGGATATATTTATCGACTCCGTATCACCATAATACAAGTACTGCATCATCATCTAGAAGGGAAGAGGCAACTTGGGTCAACACAGCATCAACTAGGAATAACTATTGATTTTACTAGCGCTTTTAAAAAATAATATACAAGAGACCAAGGCTTTATCAACACTTAATACGAAATGCAGACAAATCCAAATATATCCTGTTAGTAATTCACATCATAATCATAGACACTGTGTGCAGTTGACTGAAAAACAGAAATTTGTGAGTAAGTGTTGCTCATTAGTTGATGTCAAAGGCAAAACTTGACATCGTGATAGGACTCAAGACATCGCTTTAGCCAGTTCATACAAGAAAGTACTGAATGTATTCTGCACAAGATCCTTGGTTTGATGTTGCACGTTATCATACAGGGTCAGGGAATGATATGAAATTTTTTTGTCTTGTCTCTGCTTTGCTCACAAGTGAAGGAAGCAACACTTCAGCAATGGGCCACATTGTTGTTGTTTGCCTCATAGTGACCAATCACACAGCAAATACAGAAACCCGAATGTGGAGATTCAAACAGCTTCGGAGGGGAACACGCTGAGCAATGACAGCAGTGAAATACAAGGAATAAATGGTGTTCAAAACCATAATTCAGGAAGGGCAAATATGAAATAGAAGAATTCATTTTCAGCTAGTATAAATATGACAGGTTCAGCTCTAACCAACATATTTTAAAGATGAATCAGAATAGTTGAGCAAGGCAGACTGTTACATGGACATCCACTTATCCCTAAAATGGTGTTTAACAAACATTTCCTCACTTTGACCCTATTTTAATGGTTTTAAATTGATGTTGATCCAAGGACACAGATGGTTGGGGGTGCAGGCAGGGAGTACAACCAGACAAGAACTCCACTGCCATCACCATGCTTTCATAGCTTATCACCTCCTCCTCGCTTACTGCTTTTATCTCTCTTGTACACCCATTGCTTACCATCCTACTTGTCATTTCCCTCCCTTTCCTCAACTATTGCACTCAACTTGTCACTTCCCTCTCTCTAAACCCACACACAAGTCAAGTGTCAGGAGAAGGCCCTGAACTCTGAAATAGGTCAGAAGAAAACCAAAGGTTCCAAGGATGGTCTATAAAATTGCTGGATTAAACTTGAAGCAGCAAAATGGAGCCTAGCTCCAGCATATCTCACAACAAACTGGCACATACTTTTGTGCAGCGCTTTCCGGTTGTTATTCTATCAAAGTGCCCATTGCAAGAGTTTGGTTATGGCCTAGATACATCACCACATTGGTCTTTGCTGGCTCAGAGGAAGAGGACTTGTAACCCTAATTACAGCGTCACCACCCTTTGTTTGGGAATCTCTCCTCTAAAATGTCCTTGGTACCAGGACTGTCTGCTAGTGTAAGGGAAAACTCTGCTTGCCATTCTATTTTAAGAATACAAGTAGTCATTTAGTGGTACAAAACTAGAGAAGATACATTGAAGCTTGAAATCTTGCACTCATGAGGACATGTTGCAAGAATATCAATTCAAGGGAAAATCAACATTCATACTGCATGACAGCAGCGTGCTGAGCGGTTGGCAAGTGGAGCCTGATTGGTAGAGGTGTTGCCATAGTAGAAACTGCACCCCTTAATGCTGATTAAAAGTTTAACACTTGGCTGTTAATTTGTTAAACTGGGCACGTTGACTCTGATTGGTCAGGCCATGATCATCCCAAACCACCCTCTGACCCTGAACTCTGCCTTAGCCTCCTTTATGCTTTTGTTTACTCTGGTGATCCATCCCTTGAGACTTTCCAACATACTCCCTAACTCTGGTTCTGCTATAATTTCAATTACACTTTCCTCCCTTCACCACTCTCACTCCCAATTCAGCCCTCAGGATTCCCTGCCTGGGCAACCCAATTCCATTCATTATGCCCTTCATCTGCTTTTCAATACCTTCTTCACCTGACCAGACTTCAGCAGCACCTTACCAAAGCGGTTAGCCCCTCGCTGCACCCAAAAGCTGGACCCGTAATGTTAACTCTGATCTTTTTCCCCACAGATGCTGCTGGACCTGCTGAGCTTTTCCAGCAACTTCTGTTTTTGTTCCTGATTTACAGCATCCACAGTTCTTTTGGTTTTTATTCTCTTTCCATTCACTACCTTATGCCATAGAGTTGCTTACTTCACACAAACAGAACAAAGCAGACTGATGCATGACACCTTTAAGAGATTGGACACAAGATTCTGGTGTATCGTTAACCTTATTGTGAGAGTAGCACTTTATTAATAATTGTTTCATGACATGCAAATGTACGAGGAACGCACCAGAGACCAGTGTGAGGCTTAACATGATGTCGTCACACCATCGCTGCATCTCAACCTGTTAGCATAATCGGAGTTTTGCATCCTAGCAAAGTATGTCAGATTGCCATATTGCCCACTCTTGTAGGTTCTTTTTAAGTACCCCTCCACCATGCTGTAAAGTTCAGAAACTGATTTGTACCTGGAAGATGTGATACTTAATCTCGCTGATCTCTATACACTTGCATGGCTCATTCTCTGGAGATGTCTTATTAGCCAGCAGCATCTTAAATCTAAGGGGAGAGTGTTGAGATGGGATAAGATTCTGGTTAAACAATTTCATACAAATCAAATTCTATTTATTACTTTCCATCATGAAAATCCCTTCCTTAGTCTCATCATGTTACATTTCATTTATCCATGGTGAATGCCAGCAACTGATCAGTGGGAAGTGGTTCAACGTTCCTACTATTCATCACTAGAGCTGCATGTAGCTTGTTCAATACTGAGAATTCATAGTATGGAAAATCACTAATCGTGTTCCATGTCACTAGATACACTGACACAAAACCTTCAAAACGCCACAAATAATGGTGTTTCTTACCATTATGCTATTTTAATTTGTAAACTAATTCAGTAAAATCAATGCTAGGATGTGAGCATTGCTGGCTGGGCCAGCATTTATTGCCTACCTTTGGTTGCCCTTGGTAATGAGCTGCCTTCTTGAAGCACTGCAATCCCTGTGCTATAGGTACACCCACAGTGCTTTTAGGAAATGAGTTCTAGGATTTTGAACTAGCCATCATGACAAATCAGTGTCAATACAGATCCAAGTCGGGACCGTGTCTGGCTTGGAAGGGAGCTTGCAGATGGTGGTGTTCCCATGTATCTGCTGCCCTTGTCCTTCTAGAAGGTGGTGGCCAATGGTTAGCAAAGTGCAATCACAGGTACCAAGAGTCAGGATGTGAGAAATTACACTCTGTAGCTAATTCAGATTTCTTAATTTAGTTGACAATATATAAGGATAGGTACATGAATAGGAATGGTTTGGAGGGATATGGACTAGGAGCAAATAGGTGGGACTAGTTTAGTTTGGGTCCAATTTCCATGCTGTATGATTCTAAGATGCAATTATTTCACAGAGCTATAACCTGTTAAAGGTCATAACACATTACTGCATTCATCAACTGTCTCTAAAGACCATTGTGATATGCACACACCACCTTGATTGAATGGTTTTGCTAGCAGTGTAACATACTCTAAGTCTACATACAATGCTCTGTTATAGGAAATAAAATTGATTTTAAAATCTCCACTCTTCAAAGTGCAAATATTGTGTACAGGTCCATATGTAAAGATTATCATGCAAAGTGGATAATACTTCCCTTTAACCTTCTATTAGCCAGTGCCAAGTGTACAGGTTGTATTTTTAATGAAGATGCCCATTTTGAACACATTAGAATTTCTCAACTTGCAATGGGTTCATTATGACATCATTACCAATGAATACATGGTAAATGCATCAATAATTTAAACAGAAACACTGTGGAGTAAAACTGGACACAGCCAGATGACCTACGGAATCTGTACTGGAATGTGTAAACTCATCACCAGGTTTTAGATCACTTGAAGATGCTACAGCCAAGGGTTAACTACATGTTGGGTTTTGTCAGGCAGCTAATGCACAATGTAAATGGAAGCTTCGGGTCACTGGCAATGACCCTGTCTGACAGGGAGGGGTTTAATCAGGGATTGTGGGGAGAGGTGGTAGCCTCTGCAGCTGGGTGCAGCACTCTTCTTGACTATTAGGTCCGAAGAAACATGATTACACTGAAAGCAGTAGGCAATGTGCCAGTTGTGATCTGAGCAGACCAATTTGAAGAAGGGATATTGAACAGGTGTCTGATCACTTAGCTGCAAGTGTCAGGAGCAAGAATACAGGACATCTTGACTTCAGCTTTTGCCAAGATGGTGAATGATACACTTCATGTCACATGTTCACTGTGAGGTGCAGTTTTTATGACAACAGATGCTTGGATTTCTATTTTAATGAATAAGTAAACTAGCTGTGATTTCAAACAGATACATGGAATGTGGTACAACTTTCTTGTACCTAGAGTTATTGCAATCATTAATTACCCAGAGGGCTCAGGCTAGAAATAAAGTATCACAGTATGGGGTAGGGATTCTGCAGTGCAGTTCCCACGTGCCGAACAGGAGGTTTTGGTATTTTCACACGTTCTAGCTAATCCGCAAATTCATCTGCTTTGCAGAGAGGGCATTAAGTGTAGACCACATTCCCTCAGGAGGGGAGGGAAGGGAAGTACTGGGAAGAGGAGGAATAATTGGTATGGGTATCTTTATTCGCAACTGTCCTCTTATTGACAGACCTGTGGTTGAGGTACAATGGCTGTTGTGCGCCAGCACAGTCAAAATAGCCATAAATTAAAAATAAAAGCATAATTCTGTGGATCGTGGAGATCTGGTATAAAAATCGAAAGTGCTGGAGGAACTCAACAGGTCTGGGCAGCATCGTTCTGAAGTCATCACTGGACTTGAAACATTAAGTTTGTTTCTGTTGCCAGATGCTGGCAGAGCTGCTGAGTTTCTCCAGCACTTTCTGAACAAATGAAAAAGAATCATTCATGGTGCATTATATTACCTGTTGGAGGCAGTAATTAGAAGAACTTTATGTGCATAAAAAGGCTTTCCTTCCACTAAGAAAGTTAAATCCGACATTTCTTTATTATTCAGAATGTGAGGGTCTGAAAGAGACAAAAATAATTCATATTCAGATGGACAGTTAATGAAAAGGGAATTTCCACATATTCTGGTGCTGGTGATGCAGGGAGGGAGTCAGGACAAGAGAATGGAAAAATAGACTGAATATTGATTATGATCTTCGACTAGTTGACAAGGATGTGGCTTTTGAGGAACATTCCTTTGATGAGTGAAGGGAAAGATGGATGCTTGTTGGATGCTAGTTAATTACGACTGCTTTAAACTCTGTCTAATAGGTTTTGCTCGATGGGAACAATCTGATTAAGGAGACATTTTCATTTCCCTGAGGGTGCAGCCATAAATAATTTCTGTGGTTAGACTATTCAATTGCTTTGATGATACACTGCAGAAACGTCATTTAAAGAAATAATGCTAGATCCCAGTTGTGTAATTGAATCATCCAGACCAGAGGACCTTTTATTTCATTCCTGTGATGTAAACATTGCTGACAAGGCCAGCATTTAATACCCACCCCCGGTTACCTGAAGGTGTTTATATCTGCCTTCTTGAACTGCTGCAATCTATGTGGGCAAAGGCACACCCAGTAACACTGAAGTAATGGCAATATGATTCCAAGTCAGGATGGTGTGTGATTTAGAACATAGAACAGCACAGTACAGGAACAGGTCCTTCGGCCCACAATGTTGTGTCGAACATTACGCCAAATTAAACTAATCCCTTCTGCTTGCCCTTGGTCCATATCCCTCCATTTCCTGCATATTCATGAGCTTATCTAAAAGTCCCTTAAACACCACCATTGTAGCTGCCTCCAACACTACCCCTGGAACCACGTTCCAGACTCCTACCACTATCTTGTATAAAAAAACTTGCCCCTCACATCGCCTCTGAACATGTCCCCCCTCTCACCTTAAATGCATGCCCCCTAGTATTAGCCATTTCAACTCTGGGAAAAATGAATGTCTATCTATGCAAACCATAATTTTATAGCCTTCTAATGGAGACTCCCCGCATCCTCTGCTGCTCAAAAGAGAACAACCCCAGTTTTTCTAGCCTTTCCTTATGGCTCATACCTTCTCATCCAGGCAGCATCCTGGTAAACCTCTTCTGCACCCTCTCCAAAGCCTCCACATCCTTCCTGAATGTGGTGATCAGAATTGAATGCAATACTCATAAGTGTGGCCTAACCAAAATCTTATAAAGCCACGACATGACATCCTGACTCTTGTACTCAATTCCCTGACCAATAAAGGCCACCATGCCTTATCCCTTCTTTACCACCCTATCTACTTGCATGGCCATTTACAGGGAGCTATGGATTTGAATCCCAAGATCCCTCTGTATATCAATGCTGTTCAGGGTCCTGCCATTAACTGTATACTTTTCCTTAATATTTGATCTCCCAAAGTGCAGCACTCACACTTAGCAGGATTAAACTCCATCTGCCATTTCTCCACCTGTATCTACAACAGATCTATATCCTTTGACAACCCTCACTATACACAACTCCACCGATCTTTGTGTCATCTGCAAACTTACTAACCCATCCATCTACATTTTCATCCAAGTCATTTATATATATCACAAACAGCAGAGGTCCCAGAATGGATCCCTGCGGAATACCAATAGACACAGACCTCCAGCCTGAAAAACATCCTGCAACCACTATCCTTTGCCTCCTATGAGCAAGCCAATTCTGAATCCAAGTGGCCAAGTCACTGTGGATCCCATGCATCTTAACTGTCTGGATGAGCCGACCATGAGGGGCCTTGTCAAAAGCCTTACGAAAATCCCTATAGATAGCATCCACTGTTAAACCCTCATCGATCACCTTTGAATTTTTTGAGGAGGTGACAATCAAGTTAATAAGACATGACCTACCCTGCACAAAGCCATGGTGACTGTCTCTAATTAGGCCGCACATTACCAAATGCACGGAAATCCTATCCCTAAGAATTCTCTTCAGTAGCCTCCCAACCACCGATGTGAGACTCACCAGTCTATAATTTCCTTGATTATCCCTATTTTCCTTCTTGAACAGAGGAACACCATTAGCTACTTGCCAGTCCTCCGAGACCTCTCCAGTTGCTAGTGAGGATACAAAGATATTGGTCAAGATCCCAGCAATCTCCTCTCTCAATAACCTGGGGTCGATAACATTGGGCCCTGGGGACTTATCCACCTTAATGCTCTTCAAAAATCTTGGAGGCAAGCTTCCACACAGTGGTGTTGCCATTCATCCGCTGTGTTTTTCCTAGGTGTTTAGAGTCTGTGGATTTCAAACAGACTGTTGAAGTAGCCTTACTGAGTTGCTGCAGTGCATCTTGTATATGGCAGGTACTGGTGTATGCAGGGTGTGGGGGTTTGTGGATGTTTTGTTGGAGATGCACTGTTCCAGCTAAGTGGAGAATAAACAACCATACTTCTGACGTATGCCTTGTAGATGGTGAACAGGCTTTGGCTGAGCCAGGAGGTGCAGAATTCCCAGCCTCTGACCAGTATGTATATGGCTGGTCAGAACATAACACGCCTAGAAGGAGCAGAAGTATGGCTTCTCAAGCCTGCTTCAACTCTATCTCCTGCCTGCTTTCAATATCTGTTGATTGCTCCCAATATCTGTTCATTTGCAGTGACAGAACATCGGCAACCCTGTGGAGTAGAGAATTTCAAAACATCTCAAATGTTTGAGTGGAAACATTTCACCTCATCTCAGATGTAAATGATCAGCTTCACTTCCCCCTTGTTTTAGATTCCCTGGTTATGAAGGTTACAGATCATTAGAACTTTGTCAGTTGTAGTTCAATTATAGCAGCCCTGACTGAGGGTTCATTCAGTTTCTTGATCATGGTAACCCACCTGGACATTAACAGTGAGGGATTCAGTGATGATAATGCTACTGAATATCAATAGGCGATGGTTAGACTCTCTCTTGTTGGAGATGGTCATTGCCTGGCACTTGCGTGACAAGTGTTACTTGCCATTTATCAGCCCAAACCTGAACATTGTCCAGGTTTTGCTACACATAGGTATGGACAGCTGAAGATGTGTGGGCCAAGGACACTACTCAAGAAATTCCTGCAGTGATATTCTGGGACTGAGATGATTGACCTCCAGAAAATTCAGTCATCTCTTTTGCACTAGATTTGACTCCAATCAGCGGAGAGTTTTCTTGTCTCTCTTGGTCTCTCTCTCCTCCAAACACCTCCCGCACACCCTCCCATCCCACCACCACCAATTTATTTCAGATTTTCTATGGCTTCTTGCTGCCACATCAGGTCAAATGCTGCCTTAATGTGAAGGCCGGTCACTGTTACCTCTGGAGTTCAGGTCTTTTGTCCATGTTTGGAACTAGGCTAAATGAAGTTAGGAGACAAGTGACCCAGATGGAATGTAAGCTGAGTATCCCTGAATGTGTCAAGTCATGCCTGAGTAAGTGCTGCTCGATAACACTGTTACCTGCACTTTCCAGTGCTCTGCCAGTGATGGAAAGTAGATTGATGGATCAGTAATTGATCAGGTTGGATTTGTCCTGCTTTTTGTTGTTGGGACATAGCCAGGAAATTTTCCACATTCTGGGTAGATATCAGTGTCAGAGCTTTCCTGGAACAACTTGGCTAGGGCTCGCAGGTAGTTCTGGAGCACAAGCTTCAGCACTATTGCCGGAACATTGTCAGGACACGTGACCTTTGCTGTTGCAGACTCAAACACCAGTTTGACCTTATGCCAGTAGCAGCCAGGGTACTACGCTGCACCACCGCTGTCTATGTAGCCATCAGTCATACACAGAATGATTATCTAATGACTGTTATTTGAAAGTGGACATCATGGACATATGTATGCATCTCATCTCTAATACCTGCTGTGATTATCCAGCCTTCCTATAATCCTGGGTGGCAAATGGGTGGAAAACTGGTCAATTGCTGTGTTCTTACTGCAGTTTCCCTCATTTTGATTTTAATGGCTCATACATAAAGAATAACTGAGAGACTGGAACCTGACTGCACATTGACACAAATCCACGTATCTAAGAGAGGATGGAGAGATTAGAAAGCCTCATTGGCACACTGTCCATACAACATTCAGGAATATGGTTTACTCACCTAATCGAGCAGGTGGCATTCTCTTCAACTCAGGGATACTAGGAATAGGAGCATTACCATAGCAATATATGAAGATAGAAGCTAATTGCTGATTGAGTGCATCATTCTGCAGAAAGAGGGGAAAAAGAACAATATGCAAAAAAAAGTTAGTCTTGGGAATAGAGGCAATCTGTCAAATAGTATAAAGTCATGAACAATACTCAAACAAGAAATCAGATTGTAAAACATACCCTCTGTCAAGATAAACACTAGTTTTCCTTCAATGTTGTTTTATAATGTGGATGTATTTAATAATGTTATGGGGGAAAGCGTAGGTCATGGACATCCTTCATGACATCCCTAACCAGTCGTATCATATTACAAATATCACAATACAATGGAAAGCACTCTACCTTGCTAACCCTAAGAATGTCAAACATAAGTGGAAGCCCCTCATAGATCAGCTCCTCATTGTAATCCTCCTGTCTGATGGTAGTGAATTCCCGTAACAGGTACTGCATTACGGGACATCTGCACTGATTGTATGAGGTCCTCAGAGATTCAATCCAGACATGTAGTTTCCAGGGTACACCTGCAGGAGGAAACAGAATGAGAATTGAAGCTGCATTTGCTTTTTACTGCACGCAGGCTATATTTTAACCCTTGGAATAATTACTGTGACAGTGCTCCTACATCCAAATACGTAACAGAAACAAGGTAGGGCAGTAGCATATTGTTAATGTCATTAGACTAGCCATCCAGAATCCCAGGCTAATGTTCTAGGAATGTGGGTTCTTGTTATTCCATAGCAAGTGGTGAAAATTCAATTCAATTTGCAATAAAGAGCTAGCCTAATGGTGACCATGTAACCACTATTGATTGTTGTTAAAAAAAAAAATCACCTGGTTCACAAATGTCCTTCAAGGATGGAAATCGGCCATCCTTACCTGGTCTGGCCTACATGTGACTTCAGGCCCATAGTGGTTGAGTCAGTTGCCCTCTGGACAATTCAGGATGGCCAGTAAGTGGTGGCCTAAACAGTGATGCCCACATGGTATGAACACATAATAACATGGGAACAGGAAAGCATATTGATTTAAAAGATTCAGTGCAGAGACTTGAGTAGATAATCTAATGTGGAGAAACTAAGAAGTGACATCTTTTGGGCAATATGTTAAAATAAAAAAATGCTGCCTGTGTAAAAAGAATACCAGAATCATATTCGGGGAAGGGAGTTGTCCTGTCCGAAGTTTATTTTATTACTATTTCGAGACTTGTGTGCAAACTAACCTACTACAATTTTCTGTAAACAAAACAGTTTGTTGCACTTTAAAAGTAGTTGAACGACCATGAAATACATTGGGACATTTTAATGGATATGGAAGAATTCTATTAATACAAATTTCTTATTTTTAGAGCTTCCAGAATGAGCACCTTTGATAAACACAGATTCCAGCGTAGCGCTGACTGACAGAGGCTAAGTGAGATATTGGTTCACATTTTTGACCTGGGTTATGACCCATTAATCTTAGCTGTGATTAGCTGGTGTTATCTTGCAGTCAAGAAGAAAATCAGGGGGAGTTCCCCGCTTTGTGGTTCCCTGCAGTAATTCACAGTGGAAAACACAAATATGGAATAACTGGGCAAACTCAGGTCCAAACTCAGCTTTGAAATCTTTGAAGCTAAAATGCCCACTGATACTCACTCTTTAGACTTATTTCAGAAAGTAACTTGAGGTTTCCATGAAAAAATTGGTCTGAATCACAGAGATAACAGGGATCTGCGTGTGCAGATCCACAGATCACTGAAGGTGGCGGGGCAGGTAGGTAAGGCAGTAAAAAAGGCCTATGCCATGCTTGCCTTCATTGGAAGGGGCATTGAGTATTAGGACAGGCAAGTTATGTTGCAGCTTTATAGAACTTTACTTAAGCCACACTTCGGATATTGCATACAGTTCTGGTCACCACACTACCAGAAGGATGTGGTTGCTTTGGAAAGGGTTCAGGAAAGGTTTACCAGGATGTTGCCCGATATGGGGGGCTTTAGCGATGAAGAAAGATTGGATAGACTGAGTTTGTTTTCCCCGGAATACAGGAGTTTGAGGGGCTACCTGATAGAAGTTTAAAAGATTGTGAATAGCATGGATCGAGTGGACAGTATGAGGCTTTTTCCCCAGGGTAAAGGGGTCAATTCCTAGGGGACACGGGTTGCGGGGGGCAGAGGTGGTTTAAAAGAAATGTGCGAGGCAGATTTTTTCATACAAAGGGTGGTGAGTGCCTGAAACGCGCTGCCAGAGGAGATGGTGGAAGCAGACACAATAGCAGCAATCAAGAAACACCTGTAAGTGAAGACAGTTTCAGTATGGAAGGACAAAATGTGTCAGCGTAGCTTGGAGGGCCAAAGGGCCTGTTCCTGTGCTGTGCTTATAAATCTCTTTTAATAAAAAACCTAAAAAACACTTACCAAGGTTCCTCAATTCCATGGTGACATCAAGGTAACCATGTTCAGCACTGTAATACATCGCTTCTTGTAAAGCCTTCATTCTGGCTTTGCAGAGTTTAACCTGTCCTTCATTTATACTTCCCATGCTTGAAGTATCACTGTCAACTCCCTCTGCTAATATTTCTTCCAGAGATAATACGTCAGTCTTTGGAGCTTGGGGTGGTGTAAGCAACTTGCGCAGCACATTTCTGGTTATGTGGGGAACAATGGAACACAAATATTAAAGCAAAGCATTATTTTATTGATTCTTTCATTGAACCCAAGAATCTGGAGAAAGCATAAGAAAAATGCAATCTGTTATTCTACCAATGGCATAGCTTAACAAGTTACAAAACAGAAATTGCCAGAAAAGCTCAGCCGGTCTGGGAAAAAGTGTCTGAAGCCCTAAAGTTGTTGAACTTGATATTGAGAGAGAGATAGTAGGAACTGCTGATGATGGAGAATCTGAGATAACAAGGTGTAGAGCTGGATGAACACAGCAGGCCAAGCAGCATCAGAGGATTGAGTCTGCCTTCAACAACTTTAGGGCTTAAGGCACTTTTGTCTATGTCTTTATCCCAGCTCTCACACACCAGGCCTTGTTATCACATGGTCTGCTATTACACACAACCCATTGATAGCCACTAACAGTCCCAATTAATAGCTGTTCACCCTCCCAGCCTGATCGTTATCCGCTCCTTTGTCTGTCCAACTGTGTTTTCTCTCTTTAGGCCCTATCGACACCTATCATATACTCCTTACCACCCCAATCCTATCCTTTGCATAAAAAATGACAATTTCCTCGTTACCATCAGTTCTGAAGAAGGGTCACCGGACCCAAAACATTAACTTCTGATTTCTCTCCACAGATGCTGATTTCCAGCATCCGCAGTTCTTTCGGTTTTTATTCACCTTAATAAGTTGTCGACTATAGAAAGGAAATGTTCTGTTGATGAATGCTAGTCTTTAAGCTTAGCTGATTGATTTAGGGTATTAAATGTTATTGTTAATAATGAATAGATTTTGGCTACAACACTGATAAATCCAATATATACTGCTCAGTGGTCAAAAGTCACATGAAGTCCATGCTCTTCTGCATTGCGTGGATACTTATAAATAACTACATAAAAATGCATTGAAAGCCAATCAACATCTCTGAGAAAAAGGATAATACTTCAAGTCTGATCTTCAGTCTTACAGAAAATTATTGTCTTTTGTCATTACTTGCTGATCTACAGGTCACCTTCACAATTTTCTATTTTTAGTTGAAGCTAGTGAGTGATTTGGTGTGCATGATTTCTTGTAACAAACTCCATGCCACTTCTGCATTGATCGCTTTTAGTGATATTTAATTCCATAGTATTTCCTACATTACAACAGAGACTACACATCTCAAAAGTATTTCATTGCCGAGGAAGTACTTTGAGACATCTAATGAAAGGTGTTACATAAACATACATTTTTTTCTGATGGTTAAACTCTCCAATCTTGCATTCCATTTCCTATACTCAGTAACACTGCACGTTTGTGAACAGTTCTCAGTATGAGTAAATCATGCGTAGCAACAAATTACTTGTCTTATTGAAATTTTGAGTACATTTATTCAAGAAGAATAGGTGCTTGGTCCAGCACAGGGTCAAGTCAATCATTAATACTTCCATTCCAATTGAATAGAAAAACTTATAATAATCAGTAAAAAGGCATGAGGACATGAATCTCCAATTAAAAACGGTGGTATTTTACACTCCCAAAAGACGTGGAACTGCATCAGTTTATCCCCGACACACCCACATATGAATACCGTGCTGGTTACCTGTGTCCATGAGCAGCTGCATGGCTAAAGCAATTCATATTCTCATGTAGCACCGATGTCATTCCATTTCTGTCAAGTACACTCAGTAGAGGATCTGCACCTCTGCTGAGCAGGAGGCTAACCAACTCGTAGTTACCTAGAGAGAGGCATCATGTGCAATGTTCAGTCACACAAGAACAATGTCACAGGAGCAATGCTCAGCTGACATATTCCTACACGTCCGATCTGGTTCACTCTTCAGAGTAATGAAATATTAGGTGAGATTTTCTGGTTAGTGCTGATACTTTGAGGCTGAGGTACTGCAACTTTTTAACTGCATGTTTCAGAAATCTTAATCATTATGAATATTAACACAGTGAGCTCTTAGCTTGAATGTTATATGTTATAAGCATGCAGGGGACAGTATCTCCCAACCTGAAGTGCACTTTATCATGTTATCCCACCCCCATGTAAGACAGACAATAATGAGAGGGTACTTTCTGACTTATGACAGATTGAATTCCTAAGTGTGTGTTCAAATTGCTCCGTCAGATGTTTGTTTCATGCATCAGTTTTGTTGCCTTTTTTTGCTGTATTTATTTTTCATTTCTTTTGCCCATCTTTTCCATTAATGGAAAAGATGAAAGCTACAGTTTTGGATATTGGATTCAGAGATCAGGACAAAGAATGTTGTGGAGGGACAGAAGCAGCTTTGACACTCAAAAGGAGAGAAAGAAAAACAACTCTTAAATGATTCCTTGGGTGAGGAGAGGGGTTAGGGGAAACATGCTTTATTCATATCATTTATAGGCAGAGGCAGAACTATTTGTGAAATCCCCACCACAAACCCAGCTCCCCTGCAACTGGCAACTGTCTAAGGCCATAGCAGACTGTTCACAATTTTGTTAGTTGACCTTACTTGTGTTATCAACCACATTCTGTGCCACCTATTTCCACCTCCATAACATTGGCTGAGTCCACCCTGGCCAGTTTATCTACAACTGAAAAGCTCAATCATGTCTTTATAATCACTAGATGGTGAGTATTCCAGTACACTCCCAGCTAGCAATGCATGTTCTGTCCTTCATAAACTTAATATCATCCAAAACATTGCCTATGAGCAAAGTTGCACCACATCCAAATGAAAGCAAAATTCTGTGGATGCTGGAGATTTGAAATAAAACAAGTCTGACAGCATCTGTGGAAAGAGAAACTAACTTAACATTTCAATTTCAGTAGCACCAAATTCAAATTGCCATCATCCCTGTACTTGCTGACTTCCAACTGGTTCTTACTTAAACATCACCTCTATTTAAAAATTCTCATCCCCATTTTCAAATCCCTCCAACACCTTATCTTTTTCTCTCTCTATAATCTCCTTGATCTTTGGATTCTTTTTCCCCGTAAATTTCTTGGCCTTTCCACTTTTGTCGACTAAGTGATACCTTAACCTCCTTATAACCAAGTTTTTGGTCATTTGTTCTAATAACTCCTTAATGTCATATATTGTTTTATAATGTTTTTTTATGATGTGCCTTGGGACATTTTATTAACATTAAAGGCACTATATAAATAAAAGATATCATCAAGTGCCACAGAAATGATTCCATGGACAGAATTTTATGCCCCTTTATGGGGGCAGGCTAGTAAAAGGGTGGTGGGGCAATAAAGTTGGACACCATCCTAATAGCACTGTTCCCTGCACTTAGCAGCCACCCTACAGTCCCAACCTGTGTGCAACTCAATGAGCCCCTGTTTTTTCTGTTATTTTAGCTGTGGTTGAGGGAGGCTGGGGCTGTGCCCAGCAGCTGGGTGAATGAAAGACCTGCCTCCTCTGTGGGCCCCTGGACCTCAATTTGCATTCCCTTCCCTACCCTACCCTCCCCTACCGTCCCCACCCTGGCTGGCATTCCATATTCTGGGAACGAAATGTATTCATTTTGGTGAAATATTTTCCTAACATACTCAATACCTGGGCTAAGGCAAGAATACAGAGTTCATGTAACTTAACTAACAATTCTCTTCATGCTAACTGAAGAACTTCTGTTTAAGGCGATTAGCTGTACCTCACACATTCTTCCTTAAAAAGGTCCTTAAAAATCTACCTTAATGACCAAGCTTTTGGCTATCTGCCCTCAATGCCTTATATGGCTCTGAGCCAAGCTTTGTTTTAGAATGTTCTTGTAAAGAATGGAACGTATTATGTTCAAGGTGCTATACAAATGAAAGCTGTTGTTGATGTAATTTTGGCTTACTTCCCCCTGTTACCTAGAGCCTAACATTGCTCTGACATTCAATAAATCAACTCAGTGTGTCATTAGAGGACAACCAAATATGAAGAAACTTCAAAGTATATTTTTAATTACAATATTGGTACAAACTCTGAGAATAATTACACGCAAGACAAAAAGTCGTTTAGTCATTTTTAAAAAAAAGTTTCTTTCCTTCGTAGCAACGCTTCTTTAGTCCTTTACTAATACAGCGATAGTGACTGCTGCAGTGCTTTTACGCAGTATAGCAATGTAAAATAAATTAAATGTTGAGGACAACATACAATGCTGGCACATTGACCATAAGCACATGAACAGATGGACAAGTATACTTTAATATATTCATAAGCTGGCTGCCAGCATTCATTTCTGGTGAAGAGATTTGGATCGAAGAGTACATTTTCAATTTTAAGCAATCAGCAGAAAAAGTAGAGTAAAGGTATTTTGCTATGTCTGTAATTTTGGTGGACTCTGTACAGAGACAGTGTGTTATTCAGATGGCTCCTTGTTACCATAGGAAATAGGAAGTACTTCATCTTGGATAATAATTGTCCCCCATCCTCTATTTCAATACAGATCTTGTTGAATTTTTATTATTAACACCCACATGCTTTGCACTACAGATAACAGTAAAACAGGAAGATCAGAAAGCTAGGAAGTAATGACTATGCAAATCCAAGTCTGGGTCATAAATATCTGAAGGCTTTAGGAGGAACAAAGGCTTTCATAACCCAATAAATCATTACCTTTTTGGTAGTTATGATAGTTTCTAATGTGAAATTCCGTACAATCAGCAATTCCAAATTATCTAATTTAAATATTTGGTTTGTAAACAACTTTCAGGGAAAATACCTTTTACCATTGTTTGTTCTGGTGCATTATTTTATACTGATTATTGAGCTGCAGATAAGGCTATTTGGTTCAGCTAAAATGTGAATGAACTTACTACCTTTACTTTCAAGTTGATTAAAAATAAACGCATGATTTACTTCAGGCAAGGTTACCATGCTCGTATTTTTCTCTGTGTGGCTTGGCTATATACAGTGGTGCAGTCTACTGTATTGGTGATGTGTTTGGAGGCCTAGGGACAGCTGACGAAATGGTCTGTGTCAGATAAAGTCCAGAGCTTTCGCGTGTGCAACACATCTGTCAAGAACTCTTAAACATCAATTCAGCCCCATATGAGTTTTGTTTGGGTGCTTGTTTCCTGATGGTCTGCATCTTATCATCTAATAGGAACCAGAAGATACGATGAATTCAAGGTCACTGGATTCCAGAGAACATCTGTACAACGTTACCAATTATTTGAGGCAATCGGTCATACTTTATACACTAAGACTCATCGTGAGTATTACATAAACTGTGCAGCAATGTCTTCCACATACCCTTGCAATTGTTATATGAATTCTAATTAACTTTTTCTTCCACTCTATTGCTGTTTCTGAATCTTGTCATTTAAACAAGTTCTACTGATAAATTATGAGAGCTAGCAGAGTAAAACAGAGAGATGTTACACAGCTAAAATTGATTAATCATTGCAACATCTCCAACTAATGCTCATGGTCCTCTGTTTTGACCATTTGTGTTGGGCTCAGTAGCTCTCTGGCACGGGCAATCATTTATGGAAACAAAAGGGTTAGAAATAAAAGAAAACCCTTTGTGTATCAACTCTCACATTGTGACACCTATATGTTTCGTATAAATACTGTGTTGTTGTCTCGGGTAACTGACTGGTTTAGTTTGTATATGCGGATTACTTCATCCTGCCTTGAGAATAGCTGAGCACTAGCTGCGAGATGTAGTGAAAGAACAGAATGGATTTGTTTTCAGTGGTAAGACACAGACTGTGAAATAAACCGGAGTGAAATGGAGGACGGAACTCCATCCTGTCCATCCATCAAACTGCTACCATTTTATGATATCACACTGTGTAGTTTCAACTGGCTGCCATTTTGTAGGTCTGTATTCCAAATTACTGCGTGACGGAATATTAGATATTTCTTAAAACTACTTGTCAAATCCAAATGCTTTGGGTCTTCTTTAAAAAAGAAACATATTGCAAAAGCACCTCAGAAAACACTTCACACTTTGAATTTGGATATCCAATGAACTGGATTAGAGGATTTCTCTGTTACTGGACTTTTACTCATACTTTCACAAATGAAATGCTACAAAAATGTTGGTGACTAAGTTGCATTTACCCCAATCTATATAATAATCTTTTTGCAGAAACTGGGTCTTCCTTTAAGCTTTTGGCATATTCACCTAAAGTGATATCACCTCAGTGTGGTATTCACCTCCAACAGAAGTTATCAAGCACATGTCTGAAGTCACTTCCACAGGGGACAGGACAATGGCTTGAGAGAAATTTGAACTGCTTTTATTGAATTAAAATACCATTGGATTTGAACACTGAATATGTGAAGTCTTGTCCTAATATTGAGTTTCCAGGTCACGTGGCAATATCATGTTCTTTAGGAAATTTTAGTTCTATTTAAACCATATCTTCAGGCATGTTACAGAATTGAACTGAGAAAGAGACCAGCCTTTTTTTGTCTATCATTTTTGACACTGCCCATTGAATTAGCTGTGAATTGGATACAAATATCCCTTCAGCAACCAGGACGGCTGAATATGAAGCCATTCAATATCTATTGTACTTCACAGCATTGCAAAAGCAGAAATATTACAGTATTCCCTCAATAAGACTAGCTTTAAGGGAATGGAGCAAAAGCCCTGGAATCACTTAAGAAGTGGTCGAAGCTGTGATAGATGGACTGTCAGCTAGTTCTGAATCAATGAGCTAGAATGGGCCCCATCGGCTTCTCCCATCCCTATCTATCTCATAAATTCATGAAGGTGATCCATCATCTGCCTCACATCAAGCTGCTGGATATATAAAAAAAAAGGCAGTGTGTTATAAAGGTGAACCAGAGACTACAGTTCATCCAAATCATGAGTATTAATGGGGGAGGGGTTGTGGAGGAGATAGAGAGAAAGGATGAGAGATTACCTGCTGCTGAAGCTAGCTGAAGTGGTGTTTCTGCACAGTTATCTTCCCCAGCATTAACAAGTCCACCTTCCACATTGGCTCCAGCATCAAGCAGAAGCTGTGAGGGTCAAACAAAGATATTCAAATGAAGAGAAACTTATTTCAACACTGAGAAAGTAAAAAGCAAGAAATCTATTAATTTAAGGAAGCACCTTCTTGGAATATATTTTTTCTCTTTTACTGCTGTAGAGTCAATAGGAATTTCACTCTTTCTTTACTTCACCCCAGTAATCAGCCTTCACATTGAAGCATCGATAGTGACCATTGCCACACTGTGAAACTACAGAACAGCTCTGGTTGGGCTTGATTTCAACATTAGCTAATGTCCCAGCACCCATATTTTCTGGGAGGGATTACTGAATAGCAATAAAAGGAGTTCCAGCCACACAGCCCACCCCCAGACCTCTAACCATCTCTAACCTCAAACTTCTCAAAGTCCATTGTGCAGCACACCCAATAGTTTGCAGAGAAATATCTAACATGGACTTAGAGACTTTAGCCACTGCAGTCCTCATAAATCCCGATTACAGAGGTGATGCCACCACAGCCCAGCAAATAGATAATGTCAAGGAAACTGCCAAACAGGATTCCTGATTGCCTGGCAATGGGAACAAACCCACTGGAATTGATGGAACATAGGAAGGGAAAAATAGACAGGGCCCAAAAATATACAATAGGATCACATTATGCATTAAACCATGCTCACTGCCTCTGATGTAAACAGTCTGCAAACTTCATGCTGCCTAATTAAAAGAATGGCACCAATCTGCAATGGCCATCTGTGTGGCTAAGTGGCTGCATGTTTGCGCACAGAGATCCATGTCAAGTCAAAGTGCACTTCAAGGGAAGGTGCATTGTGGCTATAACAGATTCTGGTCGTCATTCTGAAAGTGACTTTGGCAGGAGGAATACTCAGATGACACAATATCAGTGAAAGTGAGCTTCAAGATTTATTGCTATTTCACTAGAGGCTTTTTGTAGGAGGCAGTATGCAAGAGAGTGGTCCTCAAAACACAGGCAGTCCTCCGAAGTCCACAATGTCAGTGAGACCAGATAACTGTGTGGCTCAATATCAGCAGTCAAGCTCCGAGGTTCTGAGAGGCAGAGTACTAAAAGGTAGAGTGTACAAATTTATACATTAATAATGCTATATCCCATCAACTGCTTCACAAGACTCACACACTGCTCAATGCATTGCAGCACAATCCCCGACCACTTTTAACATCTAGGCTTCACCACACCTTCATGCACTTAACAACTGTAGCCTCCCATCCCAAAGCCTGTGCAAACTTCTCGCTTTTCAATCACATCACCTGGAATGGGGTAAACTCTCAATCATTTTAATCTCTTGCAGATGTTGATGTTAAATGGCACGATGGCTCAGTGGTTCTTTTCTGAAGAAGGGTCGAGGCCCGAAACGTCAGCCTTCTTGCTCCTCTGATGCTGACTGGCCTGCTGTGTTCATCCAGCTCTACACCTTGTTATCTCAGATTCTCCAGCATCTGCAGTTCCTACTATCTCTGGCTCAGTGGTTAGCACTGCTGCCTCACAGCACCAGTGACCCGGGTTCGATTCCACCCTCAGGCAACTGTCTGTGTGGAGTTTGCACATTCTCCCCGTGTCTGTCTGGGTTTCCTCCGGGTGCTCCGGTTTCCTCCCACAGTCCAAAGATGTGCAGGTTAGGTGGATTGGCCATGCTAAATTGCCCGTAATGTTCAGGGGTGTGTAGATTAGGTGGGTTACATGGGGATGGGTCTGGGTGGGATGCTGTGAGGGTCAGTGTGGACTTATTGGGCCGAAGGGCCTGTTTCCACACCATAGGAATTCTATGGTTCTATGATTACAAGCCACAGTGTTGCTGTGGTGGGGAAGCTCTTACAGAAGATACCAAGGGACAAGATATATGCAAATTTGGAAGAAAATGGACTAGTTAGTGACAGGCAGCATGGTCTTGTATGGGGAAGGTCATGACTCACCAACCTGACTGAATTTTTCTGAAGAGATGACAAAGATAATTAATGAGGGAAGGGCTGTGAATGTACTTTATATGGATGTTAGCAAGGTACTTTGCTATTAGCAAATCGGTGCACAAACTAAAATCACATGGGATTTGGGGTGGGCTGGCTGGATGGATACAAAACTGGCTTGGTCACAGAAGACAGATGGTAGCAGTGGAAGGGTGCTGTTCAGAATGGAGACCGGTAACCAATGGTGTTCCACAGGATCGGTCTTAGGACCTCTGTTGTTTGCAGTATATATAAATGATCCGGAGGAAAATGTGGGTGGTCTGATTAGTAAGTTTTCAGATGACAAGAAGATTGGTGGAGTTGCTGATAGTGAAAGAACACAACAGCATACTGAGAGATGGGTGACTTGAACACAGAAATGGCAGCTGGTATTTAATCCAGACAAATACGAGGTGATGCATTTTGGAGGATCAAATTAAAGTGAGAATTATACTGTAAATGGCAGAACCCTTAGGAACACTAACATACAGACAGATGGTGGGGAGGGGATGCAGGTCCATAGTTCCCTAAACGTGGCAACACAGGTGATCAAGAAGGCATATGGCATGCTTGTCTTCATTGGCCAGGGCGTGGAGTACAAGAGTCGGCAAACCATATTGCAGATATACAAAACCCTTGTTAGGCTGCATCTGGAGTACTGTGTGCAGTTTTGGTCACCACATTACCAGAAGGATGTGGAAGCTTTGGAAAGAGTGCAGAGAAGGTTCACCAGGATGTTGCCCGGTCTCGAGGGCATCGGCTATGAGGAAAGGTTAAAAAGACGAGGATTGTTTCATTAGAAAGACGATGGCTGAGAGAAGACCTGATAGAGGTCTACAAAATTATGAAAGGCATAGATAAAGTGGATATTCAGAGGCTTCTTCCCAGGGTTGAAGTTCCAATTATGAGGGGGCACAGGTTCAAGGTGAGAGGGGAAATGTTAACGAGAAATGTGCAAGGGAAATTTTTCATGCAGAGCGTGGTAGGAGCCTGGAACACATTGCCAGAAGAGGTGATGGACGCAGGCACGTTGGCGATGTTTAAGAGGCACCTGGATGGTTACATGAAGAGGGGGGGAATAGAGGGATATGGACTGAATAAGGGCAGAAGGTTTGTTTTTTAGATTAGTCTGAGCATGATGATCAGCACAGGCTTGAAGGGCTGAAGGGCCTGTTCCTATGCTGTACTTCTTCTTTGTTCTTTGTATGATCCACATGCCGTTGAGAATTACCATATCCTCCTGTTACAACCCTGGCCTTGTGCCTTTCTACATTCAACCACTGAAATACTGCAGCCGGCCAGGCGGTGGAGAAACAGCAAGAGGGAGAGAACAAAGACAGTGATGAAGAATAAACACCACCACTCGCTCTCACACTCCCGACCGAGACAGACATGGGTATCACGCAGAGGAAAGCAAACAGCCAGAGTTTACAAGTGTTGAAATGGTGCCCTGTATGCTGAGGTCTAGGTCATTAATATATCAAAGATAGCCTGAGTGCCAACATTGACCCTGGCGATCTCCGTACAAACATCCCTCCAGCCAGAAAAATGCCTCTGTTTTCTGTCAATGAGCTGGTTTCATTCAGTGGGGAGAGGAGGCAGCTGCCAGCCTTATCATATTCTCCTCAGAAAGAGCATTCTCTGATCCAGTGAAAGAAACCTTTCTTCAAGGAAAATCATCAATTGCAAAACACAAATGTTATTAAATGTCCTTGGCTGCAATGGCTTTTGCGGTAGATCACGGCCAGTCATTTATCTGGTTTTAGTTTCTCTTTTACCTGAACCACAGGAATGTGTCCGTGCAGAACGGAGAAGGTGAGAGCTGTCCAGCCCCTGCTGTCTGGATGCACTGAAGGGTACCTCTGAGTGTTGCTGGGGAGCTGAGCAGAGCAGATGAGACAGAATTGTTCTATTATAAGTGCTTCATGTGAATTTTCTACAAATACAAGAAAACAAAACTGCTGGTTTTTGATGATTAGCTGCTTATCGAAAGTAAATGAAGGCTTACTGAAAGATCCAGGTTTGCAGCAGCATCAATTAACATCTGCACCATGGCTTCATCCCCAGCAGCACAGGCATACATCAGTGGTGTCATTCCCTATGGAAATAATGCACAAAAAATGGAATGAGAAAAAGATTAATGAGAAACACCCACATGACAAGCTGTAACTGGTTAGTAATTGTCTTGGGTGTTGCAATTACACAGGGGTTACACTCACGTTGTAGTTACATTTTAAGTCATGATAGCAGGAGAAATCCTGAGATACTTGTTCAATAAAGATTTAAACAACGTGTGGTTAAAAGCAGAAGGCGCTGGAGAAATTCAGCAGCTTTGGCAACATCTGTGGAGTGGCAATGGCCTAGTGGTATTATTGCTGGACTGTTAATCCAGAGACCCAGATAATGTTCTGGGACCTGGGTTCGAATCCTGCCACAGCAGATGGCGGAATTCGAATTCAATAAAATATCGGGAATTAAGAATCTAATGATGACCGTGAATCCGTTGTCGATTGTCAGGAAAAACCCATCTGGTTCACTCATGCCCTTTAGGGAAGGAAACTGCCATCCTTACCTGGTCTGGCCGACATGTGACTCCAGACCCACAGCAATGTGGTTGACTCTTAATTGCAATTATGGATAGACAATAAATGCTGCCTAGTCAGCGATGCCTTCATCCCGTGAATGAATAAAGAAAAAAAAAGTTAATGTTCCAAGTCTGACTTCTGAAGAAATGAACAGTGGTGGAAAAACAAAGGGTCTTATGCTGTTGAGAAAGTGGCAAGGGGCAGGTGGAACAAGACAGAAGGTCAGGGAAAGGTGGGAGAGATTAGAGATCAAAGGTATCATGGAACAAAAGGCAGAGGGAGCAGCAATGGTTACAGGAAAGAGACAAAGCATAGATCCAGAGGAGATATTAATAGCAGTAAAGATTAACTCTGACTTAAAAATAACAACATGGAAACAAGGTACAGACACGAGGAGAAGGGGAAAGAAAATGGAAAGACTCCTGCCAAGTCTTCACCATCCCCCCAGACCTCCCCCTCAGTCCTCAGCAAAGGGTTCACCTTTGTCCCCCTCCACCCACACATCAACAAATACTGCTCACGCTTGGACGTTGAACAGTTTTTCCGCCGCCTCCGCCTCTGCGCTTACTTTTTTAACTGTGAGCCTAACCCTCCCTCTACTGACCCCTTCTCCCACCTCCAACACAACCCCTTCTCCTGGACACCACCCCAAGGCCTCCTACCCTCCCTCGACCTCTTCATCTCCAATTGCCGTCGTGACATCAATCACCTTAACCTCTCCACCCCTCTCACCCACTCCAACCTCTCCCCCACAGAATGTGCAGCCCTCCGCTCCCATCCCAACCTCACCATAAAACCCGCAGACAAGGGAGGCGCAGTTGTAGTATGGCGCACTGACCTCTACATCGCCAAGGCCAGGTGCCGACTCTCCGACACCTCCTCCTACCGCCCCCTTCATCATGACCCCAGCCCCGACCACCAAACCATCCACAACCACATCACCTCAGGTGACCTCCCACCCACAGCCTCCAACCTCATCGTTCCCCAACCCCACCCCGCCCGCTTCTATCTCCTTCCCAAAATCCACAAACCTGACTGCCCTGGTCAACCCATTGTCCTGCCTGCTCCTGCCCCACCGAACTTATCTCCACCTATCTAGACTCCATTTTCTACCCTTTGGTCCAGGAACTCCCTACCTATGTCCGTGACACCACCCACGCCCCCCACCTCCTCCTAAACTTCCAATTCCCCGGTCCCCAACACCTCATCTTTACCATGGACGTCCAGTCCCTATACACCTGCATTCCCCATGCAGATGGCCTAAAGGCCCTCCGCTTCTTCCTGTCCCGCAAGCCCGACCAGTCCCCCTCCACTGACACCCTCATCCGCTTAGCCCAACTCGTCCTCACCCTCAACAACTTCTCTTTCAATTCCTCCCACTTCCTACAGACAAAGGGGGTGGCCATGGGTACCCGCATGGGCCCAAGCTATGCCTGCCTATTTGTAGAATACGTGGAACAATCCCTCTTCCGTACCTACACTGGCCCTAAACCCCACCTCTTCCTCCGTTACATTGATGACTGTATTGGCGCCGCCTCGTGCTCCCACGAGGAGCTCGAACAGTTCATCCACTTCACCAACACCTTCCATCCCAACCTTAAGTTCACCTGGACCATCTCTGATACCTCTCTCTCCTTCCTGGACCTCTCTGTCTCCATCTCTGGCAACCACCTAAAAACCGATATCCATTTCAAGCCCACCGACTCCCACAGCTACCTGGAATACACCTCCTCCCACCCACGTTCCTGCAAAAATGCCATCCCCTATTCCCAATTCCTTCGCCTCTGCCGCATCTGCTCCCAGGATGAGTCATTCCACTCCCGTACATCTCAGATGTCCTCGTTTTTCAAGGACCGCAACATCCCCCCCC